TATTGAGGGGGCAGAGTAAAAGGGAAAAAGAAGTAGCACAGAAAAAAGAAAAACTTTTTCTCATAACTTCCAAAGTAGTTTTAAAAAGACTTGCTCAGTCAATTATGTGTTTAAAGTAGTTTATCGTGTAATTTATGTGGCAGATTTTTAAACTTAACTTATTTGCAGTTATTTGGAAGTATCCTTTGTTACAGTTATTTTATTGTCTAATAAATATTAACTTGCCTTGAATTACTTTGCAGACTAGTGAGTCTGTAACATAAGTATTAATCAACTCCATTACTTATTCAAGCAATTATTAAGGATCCAGAAGCTGGCTTCTGAAGCATTTCCTCAATTGTTACAGTTTTAACAGTAAAATATTTTTGGATGAAACAAATTAATATGTGATCCTTTTTAAAGAAATGTTTTCTCTTTGTGATATTCCAGGTTATAAGATGCCTACTCTTAATACAGTGTGGGAGGTAGGGATTATTTTGTCTGTATGAGGTATGGTTATGTTTGTAAAAACTGTACTGGAAAGGTTGTCAGAGACCATGTAGTTCAACTTTCTACCCAAAGAAAGGAGATTTATAAATTACTCAAATCGTTACTATTCATTGGAGCAGTTACAATTCTTGTATCGTGGAAGTCTTGTCAGATAGTTGGAGTCTTCCAAAAAGATAATGTAGTTTTATAATAGCCACACCTAATGTGGACCATAAGCATCCAGCCTGACGATCCATTTTATTCACCACACCTTTGATCCAGATGAGTTGAAGTGTTTTTCAAACGTCAGCGATACATGTGAGTCCCAAGTGAGGTTATTTTAAAGTTATCCCTTGTGCTCCCGAGAAGTAATGTTCTGCACATTACTGTAAGTGTAATGGAAGTATAACCTTCAGTAGGACTGTTTCACTATACCTTGTAATGTCTGAAAATCAAAATGAACCAGTCATTTGGATCTTAACTACATGTGAAATATAATGAAATAAATAGATCTAGACTTGGTTATGAATTAGCCAATCTTTTGAAGTAAGAGAATGGAATTTTAAGGCAGACATTTCTGTTAGGACTGTGTTGCTCTGTAGTGATTCTGAATACTGTATTTGTTGGACTGATGCAAGCTGTTTTACTTTATTTTTTTAGTGTAGTGCTGAAGATTGAACCCAGAGACAGTCTACCATTGAGCTACATTCCTACTCTTTTTTATTTTATTTCATTTTAAATTTTGAAACACAGTTTTGCTAGGTTGCCCAGGGTGGACTCAAATTTGCAAGTTTCCTGCCTCAGCTTCTCTATAAATTCTGAGATTACAGGCTTGCAGGCAGCCCTGCACTATGTTGATTGAAGCCATTTAAAAAAACCAACAACAAAAACCTCCTTTTCCCTTTTATTAGTGATTTTTCTGTCCAAGATTTTAAGTGATAATAAGTGATATGTGTAGGGGTATATAGACTGATAGAATTCTAAGACTGTCCTAAGAAACTTTCAAAATCACATAACACTTATAGGACTGGCCACTTCTTGTCAAAAATTGGTTTGATAAGTCTATTCTTATTACTAGCTGCTTTTAGCAAGTCTTTCCTTTAGACCATCACTTGTACTTCTTAAATAAAGAAGTAAAACCTTTTGCTCATGTGTTTCAGGAAAATTCACTTATATTTTCCTATTATTCTAATGGGGTGACAATTATGTTCAGTTACAAGATGATTCTTCCTTCTGAAAATAATGAATTTAGAGTTTCTTTACAGTAAGAAGTATTAGTTACTATGATCTTGGGTGATTATTTAAGAAAACAATAAAGTAGTTGCACAGTATTTCTCTTTCGCATTAAATCTCTCATTTGATCTTTTAGTACCTTTATGTATGGGATAAATATACAGTATTAGATACCTTTTATTCTCAGTCCTATATAATGGCAGAAAAAAATGGAGTTGGGTTCTTTTGGTGGCAGATTAATGTACCAAAGTTGCCTACATGAAGTTGCTTGCCTGTTAGAATTTAATTAGAAAAACTGAGTCTTCTTTTACCCTGTCAGTAGCTAATGATTAATAATATAATTAACTAATAATTTGGGAACAAAAAGAATAGGGAAAATTTTTTTGACCCTTTTCAGTATTTGCTAGATGGAAGTTTGTGACACTGCCATTTTAAGAAAGTATAGCCAGGTATGATGGTGCATTCCTATAATCCCAACACTTAGGAGACTCTGGCAAAAGGATCTCCATGAGTTTGAAGCCAGCCTGAATTTTTTGAGACCCTGTCTAGAAAAAAAAAGTACAATGTAGAACTGGGGAGGTGTCCAGGTAATATTCCTTCTATGCCCAGTGTCCTACGTTTCATCTCAGCACTGAGGGAAAAAAAAAGGTACAATGTATAATCTATATTTGCAGACGGATTATTTTATACAACAAATTAGTGTAAGCAATTTTCATTGTAATTTTAAAATATATGACTGAAAAATTGAATTTTTAATAAGAATTTATAGAAAGCAACAATGTTATGCTGCAAAGTTACTCATTTGTTCTACATTTTCTAAAAAGGTACAGCCAGGTGTTGTAGTGTTGCACACCTGTATCTCAGCACTGGGAAGGCTGAGGCAGGGGGATCACTGCAAGTTTGAGGCCAGCCTGAATTACATAACAAGACCCTGTCTCAAAAAACAAAAATAAATTTTAAAATATGATTAGTTGTTGATAGCTCTCTTATGCAAAATAAATAAATAAATAAAATAAAGTCTTGGTGCAGTATGGGTATAAATAGTTTTGAATAAAGTCTGGTGGTTTTTTTGTGGAGGAACAATAGTGAAGGTAACTAATACAACTGCGGTAATGAGGTGGCCTGATACAGTGTAGTAGTTTAAAAATAGTCACACTTAAATCTAGCACATAAAACAGACACATTAAATGCTCTTTGGGTTGAACTAGTTATAGCAGGCCTGCAGCTGGTGTACTTATTCTCTCATCCTAGAATACTGGTACAGTTTGAAAACCAGTAATGTGAAAAGAAAGCACAGGCTTTTGATGAAGATACCCTTGTATTTGTTAGCAATGTGAACTAGGTTTAAGTTCCATATCAGAGCCAGAATTGTCCTCATCTGTAAAGTGGGGATAATAACTACCTCATAGGATTGTGGCAAGCAATACACCTGGCAGAAATATGGCTTCATTATTTTCTTACACATCATAAGTTTGAAGCCTGACTTCTCATTGGTATTTTTTAAAAATCCAAATGTTTCAAATGCTGCAAACTCCCAAGAATATATGTTTTTCTTTAGACCTTAGGATGATGTGAATGGGCATTGGATGCTGGTAAGTTGGTCATTTTAAAAAGATTGTTACAGGCACACACTGATAATTCCATTTTTTCAAAATTACTTTCAAACGTATCTGCTTTATCATTAGAATAGAGTGGCAAACTTGTAAAAAGAAGTATTGCTGCTGTTAACCTAGGTATTTAAGTCAAATATTTAGAACTAGTGTGTATATTTTATAGGTAAGTTTTAGAATTTATAGGGAAGAAAGAAAGTAGCGAGTTTTTATTTCTGCCAATGTAAAGAATGCTTACAGTCTTGGAAACAAATTCCTTAATGGAAGATAGCTCGTACAAAGTTTAAATGACTTGCTTACCAGTCTTGCAAAATTTCACTTAGTATATGTAATACTATACACACTAACAAAGATGTGTCTTAGGTATTTTTTCAGGGATCTAACTCAGGACCTTGTGCTTGCAAGGCAGGTGGCGACATCACTGAGCTAAATCCCCAGCCCTGTCTTAGGTATTCTGATATCTTACCTCTAGGCTCTGAAATTGAAGGAAACTGGGACATAAATATTTTGAGACATGCAATGAAGGTTACAGAAATTTCTATACGGATTTGATTAGTTTTTAACATCACAAAAGTTCTGTCAGGTAATAGTGGCGACTTCATTTTTGGGGGTTGTACTGGGGATCGAACTTGGGACCTTGTGCTTGTGAGGCAGGTGGCGGAACCACTGAGCTAAATCCCTGGCCCCTCAAGTAACAGTGTTGAGACCCTTTGTTGAAATAAAATCCTACATATAACCCTACTTTATAGAGAAAATACAACTAGTGTGGTTGAAATGGGGAGGGTGGAGCACCTTTTCCTCACCCTAAATTTAGTGCCTTGTTTGAAAAACCGATAACAATAGTAAAATTAATATGCTTTAGGTTTGTAGGAAAGCTATATAATTATGTAATCTACTATGTCCTTCATACTAAGTTTTTCCCTGTAAAATATAGAGGGTTTTTGTTGGTTGGTTTTTACATAGCCCAGTAGTTCAAGTTGGTTTTAAACTACTGAGATCAAGGTATCTTGTGTCACCACTTCTGAGTAACTGGGTCTACAGGTCATTTGTGGCATCACCACTGATGAGGCTCTTTAATAGCTAAGTTGGGCTTGAGAAAAAAAGAATGGATTAATTTCAGAACTTATAGTTTGTTTTTAAATCCAACATTGTTCTGTATTTTTTTTCCTAAGTGCTCATTCTTTCTTTTATGTTTGTTTCTGCTGTCAATATGCTCTTTCCCATGGGTGTTAAGTTCAAGCTGCACCATGGCCTTGTGGTATGTCTTCTTTCCTTCCTCCCCCAGTCCCAGCCACATCCCCAGCCTCCATGTTTTAAGGAGACAGTCCTTGAGGGTCTGAGATTTAGTTCAGTGGCGCCTGCCTCAAAAGTACAAGGTCTGGAGTTTGATCCCCAGTACCAAAAACAAACAAAAAAAAACAGTTGAAAAGTCAATCATTCACCCAGTCATTTAGAGACAGCTTGAAGTCCCATGTGCTGATGTGCCAATTCTTGGTGGGCAGAGGGCTGAAGCTCCAGTTGAGGCTTAGCCACTTGGGTCAGTGCAGTAGCTTCCTGTTTGTACCTCCATTTTGTGTCTTAATCCATAGTGTTCTGATAGCAGCGGAAGGGTCGCGCAACTCTGAAGTTGTTTTTAAAGAGTTTTGTTTTGTTTTGTTATCTGAGAGGTCTTTTCTGATTCTTGTTTGCTCTTTTCTTGAATTCTTCATCTTCTCTCTTCCCACTCACATCCTTATTTGCTTAACCACTGGTATGATATCTTTGTTTAGAATGCATTGTATTAGCATCAATCTAATTTTTAAGCTTTAAAAATACATACAAAAATGGTAAAATACTGAATATATGAAAAGAATGTGGTAATATATTTGGAAAAAACGTAGTCCCCTTTTAGAAAAGCAACTTTTTTTTTAAAGACAGGGTCTCTTATGGAGTTCAGGGTGACCTCAGACTCCCAAGTGCTGGGATAACAAGCATGCGCAAACAGGCCTCCCATTGATGTTTCCCATTAAGCAAAATTCTTAACCTGTTTGTCCTACATTTTGCTATGGTATTTTTCATCAAAACCCTCAATATATCACTTTACTCATTTTAGGGTTCCCTTTACTGGGCAGGCAAGTAGACATTAGTGGGGTTCAGGTACAAAAGTGCGGAGGGGACCCAAAATAGCATGCATTTCCAGTTAAGAGACGTGGATGTATAATACATTTATAATCATTTGTTAGCCCTCGCACCTAAAGCAGTCCCACAGCACAATGACAGATGAAGGTTATACATTGTGCACCTGGCTAATTCCAGAACAAGGTATAAAATGCATTCCTGGCTGCCTCTTCCAGATACAAGAAAAAATTTCTTCGGTTAAAGGCCCTCCTGCCTTTGGCTGGGCTTGGTTTAAATTAAGATTTTTCTCCATTTTCCTTTTAATTTGGGGGGGGTAGGTGGTGCTGAGGATCAAACTCAGGGCCTTGTTCTTGCTAGGTAAGTGGTCTTACCACTGAGCTAAATCCCCAACCCCTCAAATTTCCTTTTGTAAGTTCTTACATGATTAAAGCCCGTGAAGAAAACATCTAAAAAGGATACAAAGACATTTTGCAGTTTCAAAGTAACTTCTAAGTAAAATGTGGATAAGTCGAACTATCCCAATATGTATCCAAACTCACATTCGGTGCAGATGTCTTCTCATTTGATGTAATTCTCTATATCCACCTTATAATAAATTTCACCTATACTTCTGCTAACCTATGTGTCTTGACTGAATTCTTTTATTAAAGGGCACAAAGAATCGAGGACCAAGTGAGGGTCTGGTTTCCCATCAATACCTTGGTATATAGTTACAGGAAGAGCTTCCCCAAGAATAGCGCTTGCCCAAAAATAACACTAATCTTTAACAGTGGTTGTCTTGTAATGTTTATTTTATCCAATTTTAACCAGCTTTGGGGATCTTCAGACATAATCAGTTATCTTCCATTTCCACTTGGATGTCTCAGTAATACTTCCAACTCCGTATGGTCCTAAGTCTAATACTGAACCTTCAGTTCTCTGTAAATGGTATGTGTGATCACATACTTTTGCACAGGACAGAAAGAAAAAAGTGATTTTTTTGTTTTGTTTTTTGTTTCCAAGATATTAGTTTGCCTAGGCTGGTCTTCAATTCCTGGGCTCGAGTTGTAAGACTTAAGTCTCACTTTTACTCCTGGAGCGTGAACAGTCAAGAGGCTGCCACGATGCTGGGCTCAGAAGCTCAGCGAGGCTCCAGGAGCTTGTTGGACAGCGAGAGTCACCCAGGAAGGAACACACCAGGCAAGCTAGCAAATAGATCTTTATTAGTCTGGCCAGATGGCACTCCCGAAGCCAAGTAGCTCAGAGAGGCAACTAGCTCAGAAACAGAGGCCATTTTATATAGGGCTAAGGGGGGGGGGTTACACTTAAAACTTACAGGAAGAGGACAAAGGCAAAGAATCAGTTGATCTGAGCTAGTGGTCATCAAGCATATACTTGACCGTCACATACTAATGATGAGCAGATCGATTATCCATTATTCCATTTACAACTTAGATTATAATGTTCAGAACATTCAACTACAGGCAAGCAAGGAGTGGCGTGATTTATGTTGGGTCTTTGTGTTCACTACAGTTTCCATTTAGTTTCCCAGCTACTTCAGAGCAGTTACCTAACAATTCACAATTAATCATTAGTTATCCTATAAGGGATGGTGGGGAGTGACAGTCTCTAGGTCGTTTGCTGGTCAACATGGAGTCGCTCTGGTTCAGTCAGACTCTTACAAAGTGATGCTCCAGCCTTAGACTTCTGAGGAGCTGGGACTACCAGGACACCACCACCAAGTGCACTGAAGTAATCTCTGATGTCATTTTCTTCACGTTACAGATTGATCACTTCTCAAATTCTACAGATGTTACTTTCTACGTATCTTTTGAGTGTGTTCGTTCATTTTTCTCTTCACTAATACCTTACTTAGAATTTTTGAACTGGGTTAAAAGAATGTAAAAGAGGTCACTTTGTTCTTCTAGAAACTGGAGTTGTGAGACCTCTGAAGTTCTAACGTGACGCCAGTGAGGAGGGAGAGGGGCAACAAATTGGGGAAAATTACCCTTCACCTACTTGCCTTTGCCTCGCCTGTCATTTGTGTTTAATGACTACCAGTCCTTAAAAATAAGTGCATGGCCAGGTTCTCCCCTGAGCAAGATCTTTGTGGCCTGCACCAGACATAAGCAAGGGTCGGTTTAAGAACTTGTTCCTAATATTGCTTTGAACCCTTTGCCCGTAGTTTGGGAATTGCCATTAGTTTGGAAACCAGAGCCTTAATTCTGTGAACACGTTGTCCATTGACTTTGAACTAAGGAATATGACGAGAATAAGTTTTCTGACGTTCACTGTCTAGAGGAAAGGCAACAAGACGCTGAGATGCCACCGTTATTATGTGGCATTAAATTTGTCTCAATATTTAATGATCCCTAACACGCAATCAAGAAAGGCGTTCTGGGGAAAGGAGAGACGGCCAGTAGCCGGGAGGGAGCGTGGACTCAGCTTTGTACAAATAGTGATCCTACAGTCCCGAAAATCGAGTTTTAAGCGAGACGACCCGAGGGCTCTACAAGGGCTGGGCTGGGCCGGGGTCCCCCGGCGGGCGTGGGTGTCGGGAACGCTTTGCCTCTCTTTCCGGGAAGGGCGAGCGTGTCTCTAACGAGGTGGGGAGCACAACGCCAAGGTTCAGGCGAAAGCCTCGGCTGACAGGAACCCAGAGCCTATTCTCCCGAATTTGGCTTTTACAGAAACATGCAAGACTCAAAAAATAAAGGGCACAGCGATAAAACCAAGTTCTGAAACAGCTCGTCAAATCCAGCACGGGCCGCAGAGACTTCTGCCGGGCGAACCTGTTCGCGCCTGCAGGTCCGCAGCCCTGGTATCTAGACCCTGGGATTCCGAGACAACGGCCCGATTAATCATTTTTATCCTCTATTTCTATTGAAACTATGCTGTGACTTAGAACACACTGAAAATCCGAGAGAATAGGGGCTGTTTTTCACCTGTTCCTTTTTTCCGCCGGCACCGCTGAAGGCAGCCTCTACTGAGGGTTGCTAGGGCCCCGGGACCTCGGTTTCTATGACGACGCCAGGCGTTCCGGGGAAAGGCAAGGCAGCCGGCCCCGGCGGGAGGCTCGGTTTGCTGGTGCCGGTTACAAGTGTCCGTTTCCCATCGATTTAAATGAAGAAACCGTGAGAGCCCTCGCCCTGCCAGGCCCCTGAGTCCATGGAGCTGTCGTCCGCGAGGGCACTGCTTGTGGGAGAGGTTGGAGTCCCGAGCTGACTGCCAAGAGCGCGCCACCGAGCTGCGGGCGGCCAGGGTGCAGGGCCAGCGGGTAGGGTGAGCGGGTTTGTTCTTCCCGGCCTCTGCCCGGACCCTCACGCGCCTCCAAGCTTCTGAGTCAGGTCGGATGACCTGAGAGATCATAGAGGTCTCCGAAAGAGGGCAAACTACGCAAGATGAATTCTGGAACCTCAATCTAAACATAAGCACTTTAACGAGACTTTTGTTTTACCTACAGGACAGTGTTGTAACCTGACAGTGCCAGTAGCACACTGATTTATTTCTGCGTTTACTTTCTGGAGGAGCATTTCACGTTAATAAAAAGAGTGATAGGAAGCATTATTATGTCTCTCCCGAAAACGCCATCCTCGCCATTGATCTCCCCAGCGTCTTATGACCGTAGGAAGTCAAAAGTATCTGCGGTCAAGGAGACAAGAGGTAAAACTCCAGGGATCCCAAAGACAAATGATTACAGTCATTGCTGGCTGTGGTGGCACACGCCTGTAATCCCAGCACTCTAGGGGTCTGAGGTAGGAGGAACCTAAATTCCAGCCCGTTTTGGGCAGTCTAACGACTTATCAGACACTGTCAAAAAACACACCAATCAAAATAAAAGAAGGCTGGAAATGCAGCTCAGTGCACCCTGCCCCACACCTGCCAGATAACAGCCACTGACAAATCACAATCCAGTCACCATTTAAAAAAATCTGAGATTCAGGAGGGGTCTGAGGTAGGAGGAACCTAAATTCCAGCCCGTTTTGGGCAGTCTAACGACTTATCAGACACTGTCAAAAAACACACCAATCAAAATAAAAGAAGGCTGGAAATGCAGCTCAGTGCACCCTGCCCCACACCTGCCAGATAACAGCCACTGACAAATCACAATCCAGTCACCATTTAAAAAAATCTGAGATTCAGGAGAAAATGCCGAGACTACAGATGTGTGCCATTCTGTCTGGCTTAGATACATTTTTCTGACACATTTGTTTATGTAGAACCAAAAGCTTTCCCTTTATAGTAGTTTTGAGTTGGAGTCCTGTTTCATTTGTCCACCTAAGTACCGTGTTTCTACATTTCTTTTTCAGATACTAATGAATTTTGAACCCATTCTATTTTAAATACCAACAGTTATATGGAATAGCATCTTTCTGGTGCTTGCACTATGACTTTAAGGAATTTTAAAAAACAGTGGAGAAGCCAGGCATAATCGTGCATGCCTACAATTTTCTTACTCAGCTGTAGCAGGAGAATCATGAGTTTGAGGCCAGCCTGGGCTAACTTAGTGAGCTCAAGACCAGCCTGATCTGAATAATAAAACCCTCTTTCAAAAGTAAAAACCAAGAAATAGTGGAGATAGGATAAACATGCAAGTTAGTACAAAATGACTGTATCAGGTTTTAGTAGTTTTTCTAAATGACAGTAATTAATTCCAGCACTCCGGAAGCTGGGGCAGGATGGCACATTGGAGCCCAAACTCATTTAGCAAGACTCTGTCTCAAAAAAAAATTTTTTTTTTTAAAAAAGGCCTTTAGGGATGTGGTTTAGGAAAGCTGAGTTCAAATCTTCAGTACTTCAATATATAGAATCTATATCTATATCTATATATAGGTATATGGATATATAGATATAATTGCAGATCTGTACCAGAGTAAGAATCAGCTAGAGTCCTACCCCTGTGAGGACAAAGCTTTGTCTAACCTTAGCTTCCCTGGTTTTTAAGGGAGATTTGCTAAGGTCTTACCCAGCCCCTCCCTCCCCGTTTCTCTTTCTCACTGTTAATTCTGGAACTTGTGACTACATACCTTATGTAGCAAAAAGGATTTTGCAATGTGATAAAGGTTCAGGACCTTGAGATGGAGAAATTATCCTGTTTTGTTAGAGTGAGCCCATCCTAATCACTCAAATATTTGTTTGTTTTTTTGATCGAACTCACTGATCCTCCTGCCTCAACCTCCCAAGTGCTAGGTTTACAGGCATGCGCCACCACGCCTGGCCTAATCACCCAAATCTTTGAAAGTGGAAAAGGTAGTCTATCTCACTTTCATTGTTTTTAAAAATCAAAGAGTT